TCACCTGGGTGGGGGCTGTCCTGGGTGGGGGATCATCTGGGTGGGAGATCACCTGGGTGGGAGATCACCTGGGTTGGGGCTGTCCTCGGTGGTGGATCATCTGGGTGGGTGATCACCTGGGTGGGGGCTGTCCTGGGTGGGTGATCAGCTGGGTGGGGGCTGTCCTGGGGGTGGGGGATCATCTAGGGGGAATATAGGGGGTTCCGGCCCTGTGGCACCCCTGTTCCCCCCTCACACACACACTGAAAGAAAGCCGGTCTCCCTAGGAGGATTGGCGCAGAGCAGCATGGGGTTTGGCTTGTGGGTGCCGGGACCAGGTCTGAGTCCCAGATGTGGCTGGGCCTGACCCAGGCAGCTCCACCCCTTCCTTCCCAGGAAACACCTTTTGCTGGAGGAGTAGGAACTGGGCGTGTGTAGATTCTGCTGCCTGATCCCGGCTCCTGGCTGAGGGTTTGTGGGCTCAGATGGACTTGACACCCAGCCTCGACCCTCCTGGGTGCAGCCTTCTGGCTCCCCCAGCCCAGGCAGAGGCCATGAGTGTTGTTTCCCGGAAGGCGCTTTTGCCTGAGGGCACCAGGCTGGGCCAGGTGCTGCAGGGCGCTGACCAGCACTGGCCTGGGGGCCCTGAAGCCGCAGATAGCATCCCTCTCACACTCCCTCCTGTCTCACCACCGGCTATAAATAGACTTGGCTCCCTGCTGGCACAGGCCTCTCCCGAGGAAGCTTTTAATTCTCTGCGTCCTCTGCAGGGAGTGGCTCCCACAGGCTGGGAGGGGACAGACTGCCTGACTCTCCAGAGAGCTCTCAGGCCCCATCTGCGATGGGTGACCCTAATATTTTTTAGGGAGTCCTCCTGGGCCCTGCGTGTGGCGCTGCGGCCTTTCTTTTTGCCCACGGGGGCCCCTGCATCCCCTCCCTCCAGGCCCTGCCCTGCCCAGCCTCCCAGCCCTGTGCTCGAACCCTGTTTTCTGATTCCCAGGCCTAGGTCAGCCACTGCCAGTGTGAGGCTCGGGAAATTCCGGCGAGGAGTGTCCAGGGTAAGCCGCCTTTGACCGTTTATATGAGCATTTATATGCTCGTTTCCACAATACGCATTTATAACCTTGTATAACCGTTAAAACATTTATTGCAACTTCACTGACTTCAGGAAGATCGACCAACAGCAACTGCAAGATAGACATGCAGCCCGCGGACCCGCAGGGCTTCCTCCGCGCACACGCGGCCGCGTCGCGGGGACTTCACCCTCTGCGAAGATGCGGAGCCCGTTCCTAACGCAGCACTCACACGCCGGCGCCTTCTGAACCAGGGGCCGCTTTAGAAGCCAGGAAAGCGGCAGACCCCACCCCTCCCCCGGACAACGCACACACCCTCCGAAAGCGCGCGGTCTGCAGCCGCTCCCGGAGCCCGCCCCTCCCCCACGGGCCCTCCGAGGATCACGTGGCGGGACGAGGCGCTGGCACCCAGTGCTGACGGTCGCGGGAGCCCAGTGTACGGCGCCGGCATCAGGCTGCAGCTGCCTCGCTCCTCTCCACTTCCTGCCCCTTCCCGGCCTCGGTCCAGCCCCTCTCCGCGTCCCCCAGGTGGTCCCAGGCCACAGGGAGCAGGGTCACCTGCTGGGCGCAGGGAAGCACCCCTGAGAGGTCAGGAGGGGCGTCCGGAGCCGGGGTGGGCGGGGGCCAGTCCTCCATCGAGTCCCCCAGGGTCCCTGCACCCAGAAGGGCCAATAAACATGGCAGGTGGGTCAGCCGTGGCACTGATGGAGACTCACACAAACCCTCATCAAAACAGCAGCCCGGCCAAGGCCCGGGAGGGACGCGCTTCTCACCTCCCTCGGCTCCATTTACGTAACCGAAACCGCAGAATAAAGGGCCCCTCAGATCCCCAGGCACTGCTCCCAGGGGTGCGGGAAGGTGTCCTGGAGGCGCCTCTCCATCGCCACAGGCCCGTGGGGGCAGCCAAGGCCCGGGGAAGTCGGCGTCTCTGTGGGGAGTCGGCTGACCGCCCCACCTGCCAGGACGCGGTGGTGTCAGGACCCCGAGGCCGGCGCCGCGGTCTCGCCAAGGGCTGGTTCTGGCCCCTTTCTGTGTCCAGGAATCTCGCAAGATCTGCCGCAGGGCCGCGGCTGCATTCCGCCCCTCTATGCCCCAATTTCCCACGCCTCCTACCCGCGGCCCCCAGGCCTGGGAGCGGGTAAACAGGGTTCCAGTCCCGGGCTGGGGAGGGCCTGGAGGGAGGGGCTGCAGGGGCGTCCGTGGCTCGAAGAAAGGCCCACAGCGCCAGGCGCAGATCAGTGTCTGGCGCGACCGACGGAGACCCCCGCCTGCAGCCCCCGCGCAGCCTCCCCGCCGCCTCCCGGCACCAAGTGCGCAGCGCGGATCGCCGGGCATCCCAGGGGCGCAGGGCGCACGGACGCGCGGGGCGGCCCGAGAGGGGCTTGGGCGAGCGCGGGGGGCGCAGGGGCCGCGGCGCAGGTGGCCGCGGGAGCTGATGGGCGGGGTCTGCGTCCCCAGACAGACCCCGCGCCGCGCCCGCAGGACTGAGCCCCGCGCCCACTTACCTTCGCGACGCAGCAACTGCAGCGGCGGCGCCTCCGCGACTCGGCCGCGCGCGACCCGGTGCCCAGAGGAGCGCTAGCGCCGCCGCCCCGCGCCAGCCTGGCCCCGCCCCGCCCCGGCCCGCCCCCGGCCCCCAGCGGCCTGCGCCCTCCCCGCGCCCCGCCCCGCCCAGCGCGCTCATTGGCGGCCCCGCCCCGCCGCCCCACCCGGCCCAGGGAGCGCGCGGGGCGCACGGAGGCCTCTGCCTTACAAGGCCGGCTCCGCGCAGGCCCAGCCGGTCACCCGGCGCCCGCTCGGCGCAGGGCGCGGCCGACTCGCCGGGCCGTGGGAACCGCTGGGCAAGGGACTGCGGCGCCCCTCACCTGGCTCTTGGCCCCCCCGGGGACGACCGGACCCCTATCTCTGCGCCCCGCAGGACGCGCGTGGACGGTGCGGCAGCGCGGGATGGAGGAGCGCGGCCGCGGCCTCCTGGGGCGGGGCGGGTTGGCGGCGGGGACGCGGGGACGGTGCTGGGCGACCCCAGACCGCGTCCCATTCTCTAGGGAGCCGCAGACGGTGCAGGGAAGCGGCAGGATCGGGCTGCGGGGGTGCTCGGACCTCAAGGCGGGGCGCAGGCTGGGGACGGGGCTCCCAGGTGGGGGCACCGCGGCCGGAGTCGACCTGGGCGGGGAGTGGGTCCGTGCCAAGCGCCAAGCGCAACTGCCCGAGCCTTTCCCGCAGGAGCGGCGCGCCCCTCTCCCGGGCCTCAGCCTTGGCTCTTCCTGCGGCTCGCCGGCATGCGGCGCGGCAGTCCCGGCCACTCTTCTAGCCTAGTCTTTCTCGGGCACCTGCTGCCCCGCGCCCCCAACTAGGCTCTGCCGAGGCGGCGCATTTGGCCCGGAGCAGTCCGGGCCTCAGCAGGAGGTGGCTCCGCACGAGGTTCTGGGGCCAGGCGGACTGGGCGGCTCCGTGGTGCTAGGTGCTGGGACTCGAGGGGCGCAGGGGCCCCTTTCCTGGAGGAGGCCGAGGCGCAGCCCCCGGGAGGAAGGGGCGCCTTGGGTGACTTCCAGCTGGACTGTGTTCCGGTGACGCTGACCTCCCCCAGCCCCGCCTCTGTCCCTGCACCAGGTGTCCCGCAGACCCCGCGCCCCTGCAGAGGCAGCAGGGGAAGGCAGTAGGGCGCTGGGTGCTGGGCAGCAGGTGCTGAGGTCTCGGAGCCCGGCTTGGACCCCACCCACCCCACGGTGGTCCCGCGCCCCGCACTTCCCCTCCTCCCATTCCTCTTCTGAGAAATTCCACACTCGGAGCAGGGACGTCCGGAGAACCCGAAGCCGAGCGGCAGCCACGCTGGGGTCCCACTTTTCTCCAGCTCCGGTGGGCCGCTGCTTCCTCGTCCCACAGAGTCCAGAGCGACTCCCCTTTGCCTGCGGCAGTTCCTGCTCATGGCGTGGAAGTCATGAGATGACCTCTCCTTGTGCTCGCACTGTTGTATGAGGCACACGATGACCGTCAGTGCATCTTTCAGAACCTGTACAAACTCTCTTGACATAAATGCAGTGATTTTACAATAAAATCGCAGTGAGAGGTTCTGCCAGGCTTCAGAGTCAGACATTGTCCGGGAGCCTTTGGGAGGACAGGAGAGGCAGGGGCGCCGGTGGGTCCGGGGGTTGAGGGAGCTCTGGCAACCCCAGCCCCCATGATGAGAAGAGGACAGAGCCGAGCCTGGGGCTGCCCAGGCATCAGCACAGGACACACAGTGACCGGGGCTGCCGGGGCCTCTGCGCAGGACCCACAGTGACCGGGGCTGCCGGGGCCTCTGCGCAGGACCCACAGTGACCGGGGCTGCTGGGGCCTCTGCGCAGGACCCACAGTGACCGGGGCTGCGGGGGCCTCTGCGCAGGACCCACAGTGACCGGGGCTGCCGGGGCCTCTGCGCAGGACCCACAGTGACCGGGGCTGCTGGGGCCTCTGCGCAGGGCACACAGTGACCGGGGCTGCCGGGGTCTCTGCGCAGGAGCCACAGTGACCGGGGCTGCCCAGGCGTCAGCGCAGGACCCACAGTGACCGGGGCTGCCCGGGCGTCAGCGCAGGACCCACAGTGACCGGGGCTGCCGGGGCCTCTGCGCAGGACACACAGTGACCGGGGCTGCCCTGCCTTCATGTGGGACACACAGTGGCCGGGCTGCCCAGGCCTCTGCGCAGGAGACACAGTGAGGGGCTGCCGGGTCTCTGAGTGACCGGAGCTGGGTGTGCATCTGGGCCTGGTCCTCCCGTGGGGAATCCATGTGTTCATGAGTCTGTTTCCACGTCTGTGGGTAAAATCCAGGTTTCGGGTCACGGGTGTGTATTTCATGGTGACAGTTGGCTCCGTCGGCTCTTACAGATCACCAGGAAAAGGCACTGGATCTTGCTCAGCCGGGACAGGCGGATCCTGATTCAGGACGCGGGCCCCTCATCTGGCTGTGGCTGCCTGTCCAGTGGCCCCTCCAGGGGTGACCCTGCCCCCAGCTCTTGCTGCGCCCCAGACCTGGACAGCCTCCTTTTACCCTGCAGCTACTGAAAACCTACTCACACCCAGTGACGTTGTCCAGGCAGCGTCCTGCTGTCAACTGTTTCCGGGGTTCGTAGCAAATCACTGCAAAAGGGCTGAACACAGGTTTCCTCTCAGGGCCTAGGAGGCCGGAAGTCCAAGGCCAAGGCCAAGGCCTGCGCCTGCAGGTTCCACGTCTTCCAGCTCCTGTGGCTCCAGGTGGCCCTGGGCGTGGCCACATGGCCCCACCCCGCCTCTGTCCTCATGGGGCCTCCTCCCCCGAGTTTGTGTCTGTCTCCTTTGCTTATCAGGACCACTGTCACTGGATTTAAGGGCCACCAGGATAATCCGGGATGATCTCAAAATCTTTAATCGAGTTACATCTACAAAGATCCTATTTTAAAGTAAGGTCTTACTCTGAGGTTCTGGGTCCATGTGAGTTTTTTGGGTGGTAACCTCCCCCCCCAGCACGGATGCTTGTCCCAGCTCCACCTGCGGCACCGCGTCAGTGACCAGGAGCGTTCGCTGGGGTGCCTGTCTACCTGCTGCTGTCTCTGCGGCCTTCTGCACAGGTTCTGTGTCCACAGGGGGGAGCACCAGGCCTGGCAGCTGTCACGTAGGAGGAGGCCAGCTCTCAGGGACCAGACCCAGCTGCCCAGCACCCTGTGCCCGCCCCTGCCTGGGTTTGGGGTTGGGTTTTGTGGGCAGAGGCTCAGACTGACAGTGGAGGCTGGGAAGGGCAGTGTGGCGGGTAGCCTTGGAAGGCCTGGGCGGAAGGGATGCTGGGAGATGCTGGGGCCATCCGGGTCTGCAGTGGGAGACCAGGGCTGAAGCCCAGCTTCACTGGGAGGCCCCATGCTGAGGACGGGGGCCTGGGGAAAGAGGTGGATTTGTGGGGATTTGTGCCGCAGAAACGAAAAGGCCTCCGAGGCCAAGTGTGGGGATGCCGGGTCCCAGCAGCTGAGGCAGGACTGCCTCCACCAGGCCTGCGGAAGGACCCATAGGAGCGGAACCCACCCCTCACAGCTGAATGTCCTTTGACAGCCTGTGGGCTGCTTCTTTGGGCCCTGTTGGGGTGTGGCCCACAGCAGGTGAGCAGTCAGGACCCCTTGGGGACCCTAAGCAGCTCCTCTGTGGGCCCCTGGCTGGAGACAAGCTACAGCCTGGGTGCATGGGGTCAGAGCGGGTGGTCAGTGTAACACCTGCCGACTGGAGCAACCACATGCCTACCCGAGTGTGGGGCCTGGGAAGGCTCATGGGGGTGTTGAAGCCACATCACCTGGGGACCTTGGCAGCTTAGGCAAAATGTTTGCCGGGATGTGTGTGTGCATGTAAGTATGGGAGAGTGTGTACAGAGGCATGCATGTATTTGTGCATTCCTGTGGGTGAATGTGTACCTGTACATGTGTGAGTGTGCATACCAGTATGTGTGTTGGTATGTGTTCAGCTGTGTATGTTCAGCTGTGTATTTGTGTCTGTGTGTTTGCAACAGTGTGTGTGCAGGTCTCTGTGTGTGCATGTGTGTTCACACCTGCATGTGTGCACGTGCCTGTGTGTTTGGTTTGCCTGCGTGTGTGTGCACATGCCTGTGTTTGTGCATGTGTGCACACCTGTGTGCACCTGTATGTGCTCATGCCTGTGTGTGCATGTTTGCACCTGTGTGTGTGCACCTGCCTGTGTGTCTGTGTATATGCATGTGTGTGTTTGCACCTGTTTGCACATGCTTGTGTCTTTGTGTGTGCATGTGTGTGTGCACCTGTGTGTGCACATGCCTGTGTATATGCATGTGTGTTTGCACCTGTGTGTGTGCATGGCCCATGTCTTTGTGTGTGTGCATATGTGTGTGTGCACATGCCTGTCTGTGTATATGCGTGTGTGTGTTTGGACCTGCGTGCCCATGTGTTGTTGTGTGTGTGTGTGCACGTGCCTCTGTGTGTTTGGGCTATTATTGCATTTGGTTATTTTGTTTAAAGAAGCCAAGTTCAATTTTTGGGTTTGAATTGCTGTGGAACATGGAGTTAAAGTGCAGGCTCTGGGTCTTGCCGCCAGGGAGTGACTCTGGCTCCACTGTCACTCACTTGTGACCGAGAGAATAGCAGCTGAGCCTTGTGGTCCCAGTGTTGTCACTGGCCAGATGCTAATGAGGAGGGAAAGCCATATGGTGGGTGTTTGGTCCTAGGTGGAGCTGGTTGGAGCA